ACCTGTTACTAGAAGCGATGCACTTGTTACTACTAGCTTCTTGTTACCACTAGTAAGGCACCTGTTACTAGAAGCGATGCACTTGTTACTACTTGCTTCTTGTTACTACTAGTAAGGCACCTGTTACTAGAAGCGATGCACTTGTTACTACTAGCTTCTTGTTACTACTAGTAAGGCACCTGTTACTAGAAGCGATGCACTTGTTACTACTAGCTTCTTGTTACTACTAGTAAGGCAGCTGTTACTAGAAGCGATGCACTTGTTACTACTAGCTTCTTGTTACTACTAGTAAGGCACCTGTTACTAGAAGCGATGCACTTGTTACTACTAGCTTCTTGTTACTACTAGTAAGGTAGCTGTTACTAGAAGCGATGCACTTGTTTCTACTAGCTTCTTGTTACTACTAGTAAGGCACCTGTTACTAGAAGCGATGCACTTGTTACTACTAGCTTCTTGTTACTACTAGTAAGGCACCTGTTACTACTAGCTTCTTGTTACTACTAGTAAGGCACCTGTTACTACTAGCGTGGCACTTGTTACTACTCAGTTGCAGGCCAGAGGCTGTAAAGAAGTTGGCCGTCTTTGGGATACAAGGCTGGGAGCTGGTGTTCGAGAAAGTTGTTGATGCTGTTTGCGGCCTATCTTCTTGTTGAGCAGCATATGCATCCGTTTCTCTTCCAATGTGAATTTCGTTTGGTTTGGTGGAAGGCTACATCACCAAGGAGGATATTGAATCCTATGAGGTGTGGAAGGGTTCCAGCATGGACCAGCATGAGCTCTTTGTAGGGTTGTGTGCAGGATACTGAATGAAGGGTGAAACATCATATGCCATGTGGCTCAAGAATCCGCTACCGTTCAAGCCCACTGGTTTAAAGAGGAAGTGTAGACCCAAAGCTGCAGTCCCAGTCCCTGGGTCTTTTTGGGGGGGTTAATATATTATATAAATAAACGTCAATGCAGAGGCTAGTTGCATGTTTGACAGATCACCTGCACCAGATCACTTTGACAGTTGGACGATGGCCTATCGATGCCTATCGTTTCAATTTTAGAAGATGAACAAAGCAGCTATAGGCTGTAGGCCTTCCTTTAATCGTAGGAGTTCGGCCACTCATCAAATCGATTCGGAGTTCAGCCTGAACAGGGCCGCACGCCCCCCCAACTGGACCATCCCACCGACATCCCCCTCCAGGGCCTGCGCGACGTCGAGAAGGCTGGATTGGGCCGTCTGTCTATGCAAATATGATTTGCATGTGGGGAGATTCCTTCAAAAATTGCTTTGGTGGCTAGGACTGTCCACCAAGTGAGAACAATTTCCAAGTCATGTAAAGTCTGCTTGTGTGCCCATTAAGGGAGCAACACTGGGATTGCCGGTCACCATGAACCATCTAGCTTCACTGTCCATTTCCTCAGTTGAAGGCTTGGAGTAAACGCATGCTGGACACCCATCGGCCCGTCTATGGCGACGACTTGCAACCCATGTGGAACTCCTTTTGCGATGCCCCTTGGATCAACTGCTCTTGGGTTGGGAGCTGGCTGTGTTGTTGCTTTGGATTAGACTGCTGTTGTCATGTGTTGCCATGTGTTTGTGAGGAGCTTGATTCACCAGGCAGAACAATGGTTTGCTCATTGGGATTGAGGGCTTGGGCAGAGACTGTTGTCAGCAGTGATTCTAGTCCAGGCGATGAAGATGATGTACGAAGCTGGAGGTGACATGTGTCAAAAGGAAGCCAAGATGGTGAAGTGCCCCACCTTCATTCTGATACTTGGCAGATTGGTGGGGCTTGTACTTGCCTGGGTGGGGGTGGAGAATAGATCCCTTCGTTGGGCAGAATTTGGATAACGTTGGACAAGTGGAGGGTGTGGGTTAGGATCTCAAAAAGAAACCGATCAATCCGGCAGAGTAGAGACAAAAAGAGATCTTAAATAGAGAACAGTAGCTCAGTAGCTATCGGTCTAGGATAGCCACACTGTGAAGCTCCAAATCACCAACGGCGCCTTTTCGGAATCCAACCGAACCGGCGCCTCTTCGACTCGAATCGATGGTGCGGCCTGCGTGAGGCATGGGGCGAAAGATCCTTTGGTGCCGGAGCATCATCCCAAGTGGTTCCATGAGACCATCCCAAACTCCAAGCTGCACATCTTCCCGGAGAGCCGGTTTCCTCCCGCGAGATGGGTCGGAGAGCCGTTGGGGAAATGGAATTGTCATTGAAGCGATCGAAAAGGATCGAATGCCTTGTGAATAGATGTGAATGAGTAAGTGCTATAACATAGGCCACTAAAGTTTGGCATAAGGCTGTACTCCAGTTTTGCATACACTGGTTTGGAACAACCAGTAATAGTTGCTTGCGCCGTGTCCACCCTGCACAACCTGAGGTCTAAAATGGTGTTTGTCCCTGCCGAGTGTGGGGCTTTTGCAACCCATGCCCTGGAAATTCCTTGGATTCAGGGCAAATAGATTCATATGCTATCTTGATATAGAGAGAGAGCAATGCCTAGGTGCTTGGAGAGTGCTTTGTTGGTGTAGATGACGATTTAGAGACAAGCATGTGAAGATGCAAAACTCCTTTGCTTAACAACTGGCATCAACCAATGATATCACAACTTAATTTTGATAGTTGGTGGTTTTACCTCCAACAAAGAAAAGCACAGGAGGGCAAGCACAACATCCACCAGAAGTTCGCCGATGACTTCAACCGCTTGGTCTTGGATTTCTTCAGCGAATGAGCCCGCCAGCGAATGTCCAGACGCAGTTTTCAATTGATGGAAAACATGCGCGCAGCGACGAGGGGTTCCAAGATCCCAAAACTGGGTTGACCAATCTGAAAGTACGATTCATTAGTCATACGGCTTGGTCAGTTGCTCAAAACGCGGTTTGCAGCTTTACAGCTTTGAAAGTGATTTTTGTGGTGCCTACTTTCTCACCACAGAGCAGGGAGTTGGAGTACATGAGTACATGCAGAATGCATTGAAGAGGGCGCAGCTCTTGCGTCATAGGACTTTGACCTGGGAAGGCAGATGGTTTTGCCCCTCTTCAACACTGTTTATGCAGCTCTCTTCAAGATAGGGCCACTGTAGGCACTCTTTCTGCGCATAGGCAACCAACTTAGCCTCAGTAGAGGGTGTATTGTTTGACCACCCCAGCCCGCCCCTGGCGGCGTTTCACCGTGGAACACTGGAACTGAGTACTGAGTATGGTGAACATACCGGGGGCCCTGCTTTGGGGACGTGCATGTTGTTGTGCATTCCCCACACCTGGACCTGTCCGTTTTGGGGAAGGAACACAGCTACTCAGCAGCTACCTGGCTGTTCCGACTGGAGATGGAAGCCTGATATGAGGACTCTTTTGAGTTTCACAGTCGGGATGTGCACATCCTGAATGCCTCAAATCAAATCCATTCAAATCCTCAAGCATTTACCATCATGAATGACCGTCCCAAACTGGACTTGGAACACCTGGTGATCCCTCCGCCGCCATCGTCCCTCGCTTGGCGGAGGCCAAGCAGTCCATCCGAGAGAATGCTGGGCTGGGGAGCACATCCGCTCCGCCACGAGCGGCGACACTGGGGGGAGCACGTCCATGTCGGCTGGTGAAATGGTGAAGGACGGTGTCCTTGTCATGGCTTTAGCCGTTGATGGTTAAGCCACTCATACGTGCATGTCATGGCTTTAGCCCAAACACAATCCTTTGATTAAAGGTGTTCATCGACGTTTAAGCCATGAGACGTCCACCACACACGTTCAGGAGAGGAATGTCCATCGAAGCAACCAATAGTGGGGGTTCATGTACTTTGATTTCTTCTATTTAGCCGGTCTTTGGGGTTGCCGATGAGCAGATCAGCTCAAGAAGGTGGACATAATCAGGGGTGCGGACCTGGGTGACCCTCACAGATAGAAAGGAGCCGTTCTAAGGTACACTGTGGAAGAGGTCCAACACATGAGAGAGAAGCCGTGTCCTCAGAGCCTCTTCAAATCTTGGCCAAGTTGATTTTGTCATTTTGCACAGACGTGGCATCAGATCGCTTGCGCTTGTCGGCTTTCTCGCAAAGCTGCTGACCACTTTTGTTCATTTCTTTGTGTGTTTCATGTTTCTACTTATATAGCCAATTTCATTCTGCAGATGTCCTACCTACATACCTCAAAACGCACCAGGTCCTATTAGGGGCACGCCAATTGTGTTGTTCGGGTTTCGCAGGTCATTTGTTCACCAAGCTGCCGAGACCCAGCCCCACCCAGTGTCACACTGGGTGTTTTCCATCCACACGTGGTGTTACGAAGCAGTCGGTCGCGTTGGATTCTCTGTTTGGGGGGCGAACACCCTGCTACGCTGTTCACGGAGGTTTACGGTGTACGACAAGAACAAGAGCGGTGACATCGACAATCAGGAGATGGCCAAGCTCATGCAGGAGATGCCGCAAACGGAGAGGTGGTACTGTGGACGATGTAGGGGCACATCAATGGCTAACCAGGCTGTTCATTCTTGTGAATGATTCATGAATCAGAACCCATTGGAGTGTCACGAAAACAACCAATTGAAGGCTACCTTTCGGACACACCTTCCAATGAATTTGCTACGAGCACCAGTGATTGATCCAAAAAAGGTAGACAACGGCTAATTGAGTGGCCACAAGGCTGTGAGCTACACATGGCAACTCTTGCGTCGCACCCGAACATGGGACGTCGCCATGGGACCCGTTGCGTCGCCCAACCCGGCGACGGTCGCACCAGGTTCGGTCGTCGTTGGTTCTGGTACTGCAGACCTCAACTCGCTGAGGATTGAGTGTTTAATGTCGAAGGATATAATGTAGAAGAACACTGGCAGAATCCGAAAATGTCACAACTGCAAAGATACAAAGATCATCCAAAACATGAAGAAAGGAAGTTTGCACACTCTCTTTGTGCCACAGTCCACTCAATACTCAATATGCCTGTGGCTTTGTTTGACTTGGCACAAACACACTCTCAACCCGCTGCATGGCTGTAAGTGCCAAGAGTGAACCTCCAACACGAGTGTCGCCGGTATTTGTGTTTCCAAACAAAACGCTTTCATACACAGTTTCAACGTTTTTTCGAAGAGCTGGAATCCTTGTCCCTTAATTGAACTTGTATGGTTGAAGAGCTTCCAACACCGGTGTGCATCTGGCTTCATCTTAGATGCACTTCCAATCGAATGTCATTAGCGCAGCACCCCACCCACATCTATACATCGTTGACAATGTTGCACAACCTACTTTGCAGAGTTAACGCTCTCCCAGTGGCCCTGCGGGTACTACGAAATGCTGTAAATAAAGCCACCTCGCGTCTCGCGTCGCTGCTATTGGGACCGTTAGCTTAAACAAGGATCCCCAGCCCAAACCAGCTTCTCTTCTTGAATGTTCACTTCGAAGCACTTCACCAAACAGGCAACAGCGCCGTTTTGTGCAATGACCCACGTTAACGCTCTTGGCCATGGCCAGGACCTCTGTCCAGATTTGGCCACGAACCGGGCGAAACGTGCCGAGATCACTCGGATCCTGTCTGAGGCGGGCATCGGCTGGACCGGTTGTATTGACCGGTACATGGTTTCAGATATGTTTCTGATATGTTGATGTTTCACTTTTGCTTTGGATGATTGAACCCACTGACTCATGTTTTTTCTCATTTCACCCTTTGCAAGAGGTTGGTGAAAAGACGATGCCCTTCCGGCAGAGCTTGGCATTTTTGCGAGTTCGGTCTCCACGACCGAGAGAGAGACAGGTGGACCCGGACAAGACCGGCTTGGTGGACTTTCCCGATTTCCTGAGGCCGACGGAAGTGATGTGGTGACGAAGTCGGAAGTGATGTGGTGGAAGTGATGTGGAGCCGAGGTATAGAAGTCATTTCTGGCGATGTAAATGGCAAACTACGTTGGGTGCAGGTTCACCATGGCATGGAGAAGATTTAAAGACATGGTGCTTTGGGCGGTGCCCATTTAGCCTATTTGTGGTGGGGATTGAGGCGTCGAGTTGGGAATGCCGCAAGGAGGCTGGGATATTATGCTAGTTACTCCCTTGGATGGTACTTAAAGCTTTAGGGTGGCTTTTTGGTGGAGTGGCCTGGTAGATGAACTAGCCTAGGACAAGCCCTGGTCAAGCAATCAATTTCAAATTTTGCTAGGCTCTCACAAAAGAATAAAAGAGAAGTGACGTGTGGCCCGGTGAGGAAGAGACCTGTTGGCCCAGCATCTCATGTCCGGGTTTGGACGGTTGGCCCAGTTGGCCACTCCGTCCACCGTGGGGGTGTCCAATCCCACAGGGGTGACAGATGCCCAAACAGCATTCATCTCGACCGTAGACGTCGACCCTTCGCAGGCTCATGCGGCAAGTGGATGAGATGCAAGATCGTCTTCGAATGGCAAAGGCGGCCGCCCGCCAGAGTCTTCGGCCCAAACAGCAATGGGAAGTGTTCGTCCATACCCATGACATGGTCAGAGTGTGTCCGCCACTTGGACGGTGTGGAATAGGAGTAAAAAGCAGTGGAGTCATGAAGCTAATGTTAGACTCTTGAATGATAAACCGTCCCATGATGCCATGTGAAGATGTTGTTCAATCCATATGAGGGGGTTAATCAAGAGTCTACATTGTGAAAGAATCCAAATTGGTGTCGAAATTCCAACCATTCCTCACCTAACACTCACTGGGCTGATCCACCAACGGGCCAACTGAAGGGACTTTGGGCATGATCACCTCACCCAATTTGAAGAGCCAGCCACATTACACCCGATCAAAGATCGGAGAATGTGCCGTGACTTTCGAGATCGGTGTGTTCTTTCACATCACTGGGCCACTCAGTGAATGAACTTGTTGTGTTTTTCTTGGTTGATTATACAGATTGGAATCTAGATACAGTTGTACGATGTAAGAATAAACAAGAATAATTATGTGATTATTGAATTGTATGTTTACATTACATGTATATATAACATAATAATTCAGCATGCATATATATTGTATATTTTATATTTCACTATATTAGACATATTGTGTGGTTAGAGTTTGAGCCACCCCGTACAAACAATTAGAAATCTGATATAATAGGACGTGTCGAGATGCCTCCCCAAGTACTGATGTTTTCGTCCACAAGCACTGCGTTTCCTTTGATGTTGAGATCCTCCCCCCTGCAAATGTAGATTTCGTCGGAAAAGCACAACTTATATACATACTATCATGGATGAACAACTGTGGTGTTTTGGGATCCCCAAAACACATCAAAACACGGTACGGCCTAAACCAGGGACTTCCGTGGCCTTCACCAAAACGCCCTCACCGCCTCCATCCACCTCTCCCTCGCAGGAGGCCTTCGCCATCGAGAAGTCCAAGTTCTCCTCCCGTGAGGCGATTCGACGAAAGAACAGCATGGATGAAAACGGAATCATAGACTTAGACAAAGACAACTACGTCATTTGATCCTTGCCACAAGTAAAGCATACCCCTCACCCCCCTTTGGGCAGGTGGAAGAGTTCCGAAAGCTTTTTCTGGGCGAGGCATTGGATCGTGGGATTCTTTGACGGCCCGTGAACAGCAGTGAACAGCAGTGCTTCAAACTCCCGTGTCTTGTGTCAAGACGTGAGATACGAAGCTCAATGGTGAGGGAACGGAACAAGACATTTCAGTCCAAGACTAGACTGTTCCTTGAAAGCCCGGGTAGGATCGTGCTGGGCAACTGGCAGCGGCACTGCGGGATTTCCCCCAGTCGTAACGTCATCGGACTGACCACTGGCATCCCTTTCTTCGTGTTGCGAGGTGGTGTTTGTGGTGCCACTTTGTTGTGACGCCCTGATCCACCGGAGATCACCGTGAAGCTGTCCAGCTCGGCCATCCTTCGCTGGTTGAGCTGGTCGACAATCTGCTCCTGCAGATATTCCAGTTCTTGATCTTCCAGGATCTCGAGCTCTTGGGTCATCTGTCTGGCCCGATGACCCTTGAAGCCCGGCATGGGCATTCGAAGCGTCAAGGTGTGCAGCATGGCTTGATGGATCAGGACCAGGATGCGCAGCATCATGCGCCGCCAGCGACCGGGAGGAGGAGGAGAAATGAACCGTGAAGGAGATGATGCTCATTGACGCTGTGTCAATGACGTCTTTTTTTTGTCACTTGGAGCATTCTGAACTCATCGATCCTTTGGATGGTTTCATATGGTTTCCATTCCACATCGTACTCCTTTTTTGCAGGTGGTCTTTTTGCGGTCTATTCCTCACATTTGTCTCATCAACTTCTCCCGGTTGATCCCCGTGGTTCTCGTAGTGTGTCACACCAATCACTGCTGACATCGCCATCCAATCGCTTCGTCCGTCGGAAAACCATGGAAAACCCATGGTGGGGGTTCTGATGGGTTCTGAACCCACCGGGTACCGCCCATGCGACGGATCCTCTGTGGAGGAAAACAAGAAGGGCTGCTTTCGTGGACAGCTTCGCCTCGAGGAGGCGAGCACAGCGGGTGGCGGGTCCGAGGACGGGTGGGTTTGGGTCCTTCCAAGCCACGGCTTCGGAGAAGCACCCCACTTCGGAGGCTCCTTTTTAAGAGCTCAGCTGATCCCACGGTCAGCATGAGTGGTTCCGGATATGAAGAAGCTGACCGTGTGCGACTCGCAAGAATCCGAACCATGCGAGCAAAGCAACCGTGGTCTCTCGTGGTCTCCCGAAACGGTGGGTCTCTCGGCGTTTTCGGTCTCCAGTTTCTGGAACTCCTGGAGCCGGTGGTGGGCTTGGGTCGAAAGAACGGAGAAGACTTGTGGGGCGGCTCAGAGGGATGCCATGCCTGAAACGATGGATGGATGGCTTGGCCTATGCAGATGGCCATGCCTAAAAAGATCGTCTCCTCGTGTGGTCCTGTCGCTGGGGTTGCATAATATGATTGTTTATGATTGTAGAAAAAGTCAAACATCGTGAAACTGTGTGCCCGACGAGCTGACTTGCATTGGTGAAGCGTCACGCTTACGCTTACTGTCCTGTGCTCGAACTTGGAACGGGGTCCGGTCGGTCCTGTACTCCAATGTGTTTCATGAATCTTCCGGGTCTTATCCGGGGTGACCTGAGAATCTGCATCTGCATGTCATTCGAAACCACAAACCTGGCCAGAAGAAGCATGTTGCTTCTATGTTTGATTTGATTTCAGAAAGGATCGGGCAATTCAGTCTTGGATGCTTGAGATTCTGCAGAGTCTGGAAAGCTTATAAAGGTTTTTGCTTCAACTTTAGGTCTTTAGATTGCATTGGTTTCGGCCTCTGAACTTCTCTGTTTTGGCTGGTGGCCCTGAGGACTCAGCTTTTCTTCGAAATTGACCGGCACATGCATCCTGAGTTTGCTCAGAAGGCCAGGGGTCCCTGCTTGTGCAGCAGTAATGTCTTCTGTGACCTGTGGTTTCTTACCCGCAGAAAATGTGTTGAAAACCCATAAACATGCTTGGTACATAAATGCACGCACATCTTGTGTATTGGCGGCGAGGTGTGGTTCATCCCCCAAAGTCGGCCCCACCCGATTTTTGGGTTCAAAGACATACACAACAAACATGAAGCGGAGAACCCCCAGTTTGTAGAGGAAATAAACCCATACAAAACCATGAGCCCAACCAAGTACCATGTAAAAACTATACAAATGTTGGTAATCATCGGCGAAAGCATCCGTTCCTTCGTCCTCTTCCAACCGGCGGACGACCCCCCGTACCGAAGGTGGTGGAGCCCACCAGCCCCAAGTCGCGCAAGCCTCGCTATGGCGAGATCGACCTCAACAAGCCCCGTGCGCGCAGCCAGCCGTGAGGAGTTCGTAGAAATCAAGGGTGTGACTCAAAACGCGTTTGAAATCGTTTCAATATGTTTGGCCAAAGGTTGCAAAAGCTTTGCAAAAGGCTGATCCTTGGTTTTCCAGGTGTTCCGGCCACATGGTCTCGTTTCTGATTTAGGAAACATTATCTTGTTGTTATCTTATTTTGGCTGGGTCTTGTTCGTGCCACCAAAAGCGTCACCAGCGTTGCTTGAGGTCTCCACACTTCGGGAAGTATCATCGCATCACCACTTCTTCTGGTGAAAGTACAGTTCGTCAGACCAACTCACCGACCTCTCATCCACTCCCGACCAACCCCAGTGTAGGCTCCCACCCTCGACCCCCAGTCAGACGCTCCGCATCATCCACTCTCAATCTCTCCGCGATCCATTTCTTCTCCGTTCGGCCTCCATTCAGAGACACGGGGAGGTGTGGCTGTGGATTTTCCGGAGTTCCTCATTCTCATGTGCCTTTGGCCAGCGTCATCGCTCGGGGCGGCGTGACCAGTGGGGGGGGAGGGAGTTCTCTGACACGGTTACATGGCTGTCCTTTGCATATGGAGAACAGCTTGAGGTGGTTGAGAGGTTGGAATAGAATATGTATCTATCCTGGCAAGTTCAAGTACTGTACTGTAGCCCTTAAGATGTGCCAGTGCTGCATTTGTTTGAAGGTGACCCTTGAAGTGTTCAACGTTTCAGTCCGTGTTGATAATGATAGCAGGGAGTAAGGAATGACTGTGTTTCCTGTCACAAAGCTTGCAAGACATCATTAGGTAAAAGACCTTCCAGACAGAGTTGAATGGGGTATTGGCGTCTATGCCATATGCCAATGCCATTCTTTCCTAATGGCAACTTGGCTGTTCATGCTCCCTTTCTGTTCAAGGTCACTGCTTTTGGAGAAGAACCTGTGCCAAGTGAAGGAGACAGGGATAGGATGTGATTGCTGGCACAAGATACAATTGGCTGGCGGTTGGACCTCTGGAAAGTAGACACCAACAAAATCGTTCTAAAATGGGAAGTGATTGCCGCTTACGGTGCCTCATTTTGAGAGTCATGGTAATTATTGCTTCTACGAAAAGCCGGATGGATGGAAACTCTCAGAGCACATTACGATAAGCACCATACTCACTACTGTAGATGATCTAGTTGGAACAGGCAGGACTCCCACGGCTTTGCAGTGTGTACAGTGACCGTTCGCCGGATTGGGAGCACAGTTTCATTGAATCTCATTGCGGCGATCGTTGATGTTCAATATTCATGAATAGCTTGTGTTTCGTGGTGCTTCATGACGTTGTTGGATGCCGTGTGGCAGATGTGTTACTACCTTTCTTGGTGTACTTCCCGCAGAGCACCATGCTCCACATTCATGATGGTGAGGATTCAGGATGACCTTCTATCGGTTCTATGCAAATCTGCGCGTGACTCTTCCACTGAACTGTTCGTGTGTGTGTGTGTGTGTGCCCCTTGTAGTCACAGGGATTCCGTTGAATTGTTTTGTTTTGTTTCAAGCAGGGGGCCCATGGACACTTGGATGGCATGGGCCAACGAAGACCCATCCAAGCTGTCGTGAAAACGTACCTGCTTGGTGCGCGAGCTTAGTCCCCCCCCCTTCCCCTTCCCTCCCCCTTTCTTTCTTTGCTTTTTGGGGTTTTCCTGAATGGAATACTCAGGATCTCCCCTTTCTTTTTTTGTTGTGTTCGTGGACGATTGTTCGTAGCTGGGAACACCTGCCTTTTTCTTTTCTCTCTTCTCCATTTCTTTCTTTCTTTCTTTCCTCTCTTCACCTTCCTTCCTCCTTGGG